TAGCATCTCAATCATCAAGCATTACGCTGCTAGATAAATATTTCTTTCGCTCTGAAGAGTTAAGGCGGGGTTAGAAGGTTTCTCTCTCTGTTTGTACGTTCTAGAGACCGGAACGATGTGTGCCTTACGAGAGCTTCAACAAGTGCGGATGGCTGCTGGACTGACATAGGGCTGATACGAGCTAGAATGAACTTGAGCATCCCACCAAAGCATGGATGTCAAAAAAAGCAGTTCACATGCAAATTTATCATAGAACGCTTTCAAGATAATCATATCAGGACAAACTTTCAAGCCTCTCTAAACCAGAAACTTCCGTTAGAGTACCCGTAAAGCATTGAGGAGCACTAAAAAACACTGAGGACCGTAATAACATCTGCCTCGGAAGAAACGGTCGGCTACATACAAAAGAAACATCAAGACTGGTTCGATGAAAACGACACGGAAATCCAAGACCTTATAGAAACTAAAAGAAACACGCATAATGCATGGAAAGGCGACCCCAGCTCGACTGTAAAAAAAGGCAATACCAGGAAGCAAAAGCAGAAGTTCAAATGCAAACGCGAGCATTAAAGAATCAATGTTGGATAAGAAAATCAAACGAAATGCAGCAACTAGCTGAATCCAACAGCACCAGGGCCTTCTTTCAGTCTACTAAGATAGTATACAGACCAACCACTCAAGGACTCATTCCTTCACGATCCAAAGATGGCACAAGACTGCTTAAAGACAGTTCCATCAATTCTCAATGACATCTTCAACGAAATTCCACAAAAACCAATACAACAAGAACTGAGCGAGGTGCCTAGATTAGAGGAGGTTGAGAAGGCAATCAGACAACTAAAGCACAATGAGTCAGCTGGTACTGACGGCATTCCAGCTGAATTCTTTGAACAAGGAGGCCTCACACTAGGTGCTTAAACCCACATCCTAATAAGTAAGTATAAATATAGGTATATGTATGGTCTCAAATTACACGCTCCAAGTTGTGGAACTTTGAAAACATGAGGCTCGTGCACAGTGCACAATGGACTGATAAAATATAATAATTTCGTTTTTCTACAACATGCGTAAAAAGTGACATTTTGCGATTTGTTTTGACAACGCAAAGTTGACCTTTTCTGATTATCAGTCGACAAAAACTTTGTCGCTTGCTGCCATGGGAGACAAGCGACTAAGTAAACTTTGCCGATTGGTTGCTGGTTGAAAGCACCTAAAATAGCGGGAAATAACCAGTTTGTGTTGAATTTATTGACATTTAATTTGTCTCAATTATATATTTTTCAATTTTGATGGAAAATCATTCCATTGTTGTAGAGAAAATATTGTGTGCAATACGAGCGCAAAAGGCCCTTGTCGACTTCGAGTGATTGCCGCGCTCCGCTGACCCGTCGCGCGGCAACTTTCCCTCTTAATCGATAATGGCTTATTTTGCTCTCTTAATACACTATAATGCAAAAGACGACAGTATTATATGAGATAGGAACATTTTTAGTGCGGCAGTATAGAAAAAAGGGAAAAAATAGCATAGCCTGTATTTTGATATCTATTCTGTCCAAAAATCTGAATACATTTTGTAGCTCAAAATGATATTTTATTTTATGTCAGGCAGCAGCGGAGTAAAAGTTACAAAGCATAACTAATTTACATGTCACATTAATTTGAATGTGAATGAGTATCCTCGGTTTTAGTGGCACGAAAACGGTCTGTTTGGAACCGCCGAAAAGGCAGACCTTGAATTTTTATGTGACGAAGAATAAAACTGATTCCTAAATTTTGGGATTGAAAACAGAATGAGTCTTTGTAGTTTTAACAGATATTGTTGTGAAAAGAAGAATAGGGACCATGGAAACAAGAAGAGAAGCATCCATTAAAATAACGACTACATTATAATAAAATTTTATAACAACTACATTTATTTATTATAATGCTGGAGCCTTGTCCCGAGATTTCTGCTTTCGGGTTTTAGATGGCATTAAAACGCTTAATCAACGCTTTTACCCAATTGCCTAAGCTGTTTAGTAAGGTGGTGGTTTGAGTGTAACTTCGAGATTTTCAGGAGTAGTGGGATTTTAGTGCTGTTTAAATCAAACTATGTACAGTTTTTTGATTTTCCAGCCTCCAAACAACTGATTTATTTTTTGGATTATCCCTGCACCTTATGGATTAAACGGATCGATCCGGGGACCTGTCCGTTATCACAAACTCTTGGACTTTATATACAATATTCAGGATATGCATAGGGGAAAGCTTTAAGTAACGCTTGCAGTTAAATATGAGATCGCGAATGTCGTTATCATTTTAGTCCAAAGACCTCTTTTAGGCCCAGTTTATTCATTTGCAGATAAACTTGCTGGTAACTATCTGCAAGATAATTTCACCGTTCTATAATTTTATTGGTCGGCGGATAACTGGCCTACCAATGGGATTACAGGATTCGTTTTTATCCATCAGATTGCATACTGAGAGTTTATCAGAAAGTGAATAAACCGGCCCTTAGTCATATTTTTGATGTCGGAATTAATTCGGAAATTTCTGTTTCCAGATAATGAATTACATGGAATGCCTGAAAGATTCAAATTCATTAAAAACCAAAAAATAAACAATTTTAATCAGATCTGGATAACAAAATTGCGTGATGGTCCAAGAACCAGCTATGTATTTATAGTATTTATCCCCCAATCGTAAAAATGACCGAATTTTTGCAACAATTACCTATCTTTCGATTGGGACCATAAGCTGGGTGAACTCGGTAATTACGACGCAATCGTGATTGAAAAGAGGTAGAACTTAAAGTTTTATATGTCTTAGAAATGCGAGAATACATGAAAAAAAGTTTAATCTATTAATTGATTAAAATAGTCCTCATAATTCTTGTCATCAAACGAATATTTTAACTTCCGACTGAGCGGAACATAAACGCACATTGACAACATTTTCAAACCATCTTTATTTAATTTGATGTCGCATTTCCGAGATCTACGGATCCTACCCCTTTTTTATTACAGTAAATTCCCGGTCTCACGCTAAAAAAAATTAACATCTGTCCGAAATTTGATTATATTCGCTATCAAGAAAAACGGAACGATTTCTGCCTTTGAAGGAGTGAAGGCAGTGAAGTCTTCAACAAATCCTTTATGCACTTATAACACAGCTTATAATTTCGGAGACGTTCGAACTTTTGATTGTTGTAATTCATAGACAAAATTCTGCAGCGAATAAACTGTAGATTTGTTAGGCTGAATTACTTTTTTTTAAAATCGTATCATTATGACACTCAAAGACAAACTTTTACGAGAATATGCATGTGAATCTTTATTTTATTATCACGACATGAAATACTCCTTGTTTTTTAATAAAACCATACTTAAATAGGTTCATGCCTAGCAGAGCTGGGCAGATTACTTCAAAAAAGTAGTAGTCTAACTACTAACTACTTTGTGAAAAAAGTAGTTTAACTACTTTGTAGATAAACTACTTCTTAAAAAATGAGTTTGGTTTAGATTACTAACTACTAAGTAGTTATTAGTGAAAAATTTAACTAAAAATATAAATTTTGTAGATATAATAATTGATTTACAAACCATCCTGGTTGGGTGCCGTACCTACAAAAAAATATCTATAACAATAAAAACAAACACTTACTGGTTACTGGAAGCTTGAAGCATAGCTTAACTAATTTCAAGAACTTAATTGTTCTAACTCTTTAGCACGTGGTATAGAAAAGTAGTTAAATATTTTTTCAAAGTAGTTAACTTACCCAAAAGTAATTAAAATCCGCAAAAGTAGTTAAAATATATGAAGTAGTTATAACTGAGTAGTTAACTACTATTTTAAGTACTTTTTGCGAATATCATCAAAACTAAAAATAATCGAGTATGATTACTAGGAAAAAAAAAGTAGTAAGAATACAACTATTTTTTAGAAAAAAAGGAGTTAACTACTTTTGTAGCTAACTACTGCCCAACTCTAATGCCCAGTCAAAAAGTTATGCAATTATCCTGCTATAAGTGCATCTGTAGAACATCGTTCTATTTCCCCAGTAACTAATAGTAGGTACTCTACAAGAAATATATATTCAAAAATTGCTAGCGAGTCATAGTAACATATAATGGTAAGATATTTTATTCCAGGTGCATAGATGTAGAGAGAATGGCGAATAATAGAGATTTGATTTTTTTGTACGGAAATCTAAACAATTATTCATACATTGTTCCTTCGATGATTTTTTTTTTCAAGAAATGATAAGCATGGTTCTATTTCCCCAGTAACTGATAGTCTTCTACCAGAAATACCGGATTATCCAAGATTTTATGACACATTTTCCAAAAAATTCCAAATGATTCAATGACATGAGTACCTATTCAAAAATTGTTAGCGAATCATAGTAAGATAATGGTGAGATATTTTATTCCAGGTGCGATAGTTGTAGAGAGAATGGTGAATATTAGCGATTTGATTTTTTTGTTAGGAAATCTAAACAATTATTCCTACATTGTTCTTTCGATGAATTTTTTTTTTCTCGAGAAATGATAAGACATTTTCGAGGATATTTTCATTTTGTTTACAGGAAATATATGTACAATATATTTTTTCAATATGGGTGCCAGTATAATAGGTACGCGAGGTAGGGTTAACTCCCTTCGAAATCCTTTTGATATTTTTAAGGGTAGAAACCATTAAAAGGAATTGATTCATGTTTGGCGGTGGTCGTCTCAAAATAAAATTATTGTTATGGTAATATTTTTCTTCCTTTGAAATCAAGTGTGGAAGCAGTAGTTGAGAAACTCTGATCAGGTCTTTTGGGCAACTGTCATGTAATTTGTTTTCTATAAATATATAAATATATAACATATGAAACTAGTTTCTCTACCGCCAACCATCAGCTTAATGACTTTACGTGTTATAATATTAAAAGGTTGTTGTTGCAAGATTTATAAGTTGGAATCGAGAAAACATTCGAGATATTATGTCAAGTTGAATAAAGTTAAAGGCCCACTAACCTTTCTATTGAAGAATAATCTCCTCATGTTGAGATTTGGTTGCGCTGGCATTGTGTATTTATTCACCACCATTTCATTAAAAAGTGAACTAGGTACCTCAAAACTACAATTAAAAATCACATCACATAAACTGCGACCGCTTTTTTGTTTTAAGACCCTATTAAACCGAACGAGCCTTTAACGTATTTCTAGAAAAGTCGTTAATCAAATCGTAACCGGCTGTCTTTCCCGTATGGTTAACTTGAAAAAAGTCAAGTCGATGAAGACACCATCGGCTTTGGCAAATAACGGTTCTCCGTTTATTTCAAGGCTTATACTGTTGGGCAAGTTTAAAACGTCAGACTATTTAAGCCCCCCTCTCTGGTTAAGTGTTGGTTAAGTTGAAACTTGGGTCGCTTCTTTCCGAGAAGCGGACGAACGCGGAGCGGCAAGGCATCGCGCGGTTTAGGTAGGTTTTTAGGAGCTTTTCGCAGGAAAAAGCTCTCGACACGCAACGCAACACGCGACGCCCTGCGCTTCGGGAAATCCAAATTTTTAGCGGAGCACGGATTTAGAACAGGTGCCATGGCGGCACTGGTTTTTCTTATCTTGATCAGATTTATTTATTTTTTAAAACCGTGTCTCATTTTACTATGAATATCGAACTTAATATGTATCTCGCCTTTTTCGGTGACCGTCCGTTTCCTGTCCCCTGGTTTATGGTTTCCGGTCCTTTTGTCTGTGAGTTCCTAGGTAATGCAGCAGGAGGCCTTCTTGGTAACCATAATTAATTATATTCTCAGGAGGCAGTAGGTACTTTTCTTTGGTACTAATTTTCCCAATCAGCAAACATCGACTGAATCGTTCAGTGAATAACTCTAAGCAAGATCTTCTTTTTTCATTAGGGGGAGGGAGCTCCGATGGATTGTGAGGCGGAAAATACGTGAGAAGATACAATATTTTTTTTCATAGCAAAGATAAAAATAGTTTTAGTACAAGGGAAAGGGGTATAGGTACTAAAGTCCCCACGACCTTTGAAATTAGGGGCTCACGTGTAGTTCATAGATGCGAATCACGAATTATTGCGAAGGCGAATTTCGCTGTAGAAAAATCGGTGTTTTTGATTCCTTTCATATAATTCGTAAATAATTGTTTTATTGTTTTGTTTCTTTTTGTGTTTATTGCAATTTGCAAGAAAGAAATTAAGGTACATAACAGAAAACAGCAAGGGTCATATCATAATTTAGTCCAAGAACAAGAGAAATAAAATTCAAACTACCATGGAAAATATTGCAATAAACAATAAAAAAACACACTGCAAAGCACAAGAAACTACAAGAGTTACAAAGACAAAAGAACAGAATCCAAAATTGAATGGCGGAAGTCACTTTTCTTGACAGTGGACCAACCAATAGGAGTGATCTCCGCAATTCGCAATTCGTGATTCGCATGTACAAGATGACCTACACTCAAGGTCTTACGCTGTAGGTGATGCAACCCGACGGCATCTCCCTCCTTCGTTGGTGTTTAATGCCGTTTGTCGAATCTCATCATCCTTCTGTCGCTATTCGAACGTACTCTATTCTTGGCGAAATCGTCAACTGCTTTAAATCCGTTTTGAGACCTCATTTCTCTTCCAGTCAACAATAATAATAGTGTATAGCCGTTAGATTCACTTCGAGCTGAGAGCTTCTTCAGGCCAGATACGAAAAGTGGCACGAGCATACCCCTTTGCTGGCGTTCATCTATACCAACATCGAGATCTATGGTTTGATAGTCCGATTATCCTTATTCCTAGTAACCTCAACAGTTCCTTCCATACTCCCGACTCAACATTTTCTCCCTGAAGTTGCATATCGGCACCCCGTGCCTATGGCTATGATGTTTTTCAGTTATGTTTCAGTAAGCAAATCTACTTGAATGGTATCTCCTGGAAGAGAATCGAGAGACGGTTATTTTAATTGGGGATTGGATCTACTTCTGGCCACTTTGAAAAATATTCCATGGCAACGGTTACGTACCTACTTATAGCCCAACTCTTTTGTAGGAAAAAGACTTGCAATACCTACCATAATTCTCTCCCAGGGGGAACCAGCCAAAGTTTATTTGTCCAGTATTCTCACCCCTTATCTGTTGAACAAATCCAGAATTTCTGGCTTCTCTCTTGCCTCTTGCATAATTTGCAAGAGTTGTCAATCCATGCATGATATCCGCATTGGCATGAGTTCCTTTCTGCAAACTTGACAGGTGTTCATTGAAATTTTAGCCATTCACCATGATATAATCCAAGGTAACCAAACCCGTCACCCTAGTCAGTTCTCGCAAATCTCGCTCTATCAGTCTTTTTAAAGTCACAAGTGCTTTGCATAATCCAAATGGTGATTATGTAGCACGCATAATAGCTTCATTTTTCCCTCAATATTCGGTTATCTAACCTGATCCTCTTTAAGAGCGTGCTAGGTTTCGATTTCGGGAGTAATTTTCATTTCTAAAATCTATCACAGCCTACTGTGCCTTCTATCGTTGCTACAGTCTCTACTGTTGCTCCTCGTCAATAATTTTTCGATTCCTATGACCAGATCCTTGGGAAGTAAGTTAAATTGATTTTCACGAGAATATTGTCGACTGTCAACTATTTTACTTTGAAGAGAACTCTTGAGGGTAATTTTTATCCGAATTTAAAAACAAACGCTCGGAGACGTCATTTTTGTATTCAATGGAAAAACTTTTTGATCCCATCGATATTTCACTAGAGTGCACCCCCTGGGTGAGGTGACTTTCACCCTTCTTTTTTAGATAGGGAAGATGCGCCGAGTGGTTTCTTAATCCAAAGGTATTTTGAATAATGGATCCTCTAAAGTATAAATCAGTTAGGCATCATCTTCATTAATTAAGTTTAACTCTATTTAACAATATTCATTAATCAAATTATGTACCTACTTGCATTCACTCAACCAAATAGTAGCATAAATAAAAAGAAGTTGTTCTTTGATTTAATGAACAATTCATTAAAATCGGTCCAAAGAACGGCTTCTTTGATCACATGAACTCTACGTTATTGAAGGATGAACAATTTCTTAATTCCTAATTCGATTCATCTTGTGTATGAACAACGAACATTAAGGTATGTAGCAAGGATTTTGTATTAATGAAACTTTTCATAGTAACAATAAACATCGTTCTTAGTTTATAATATGTACTTTTTCATTGTCCTGATGAACAGACGGCATAATATTAATGAAGCCCAGATATAATTTGATGAAAGCTTTTCATTGTATTTATGAATCACAGTCTTGAATACTAAGAATTTCATTCATTGTATTTAATAATGACGGTTTTAATAATATGTACCAAATTCTTTATTTTTATTAAAATAATTTCATGAATTATGCTTTAAATATACTTATGATTTTAAATGGGGTACAGGGTCATTTTTTATATTTGCGTGACCCCTGTACTGATGAATATGAGCAATAGGAAAAAAGCTTTTAATGCAAAAGTTGCATGGTTTCTTCGTATCATCTTCCAGAATTGTCAAACAAACCAATGGGCATCCCAAAATCTGAAAATTCAAAAATCTAAGTACTTATGTATTTTTATTTCAAATGACACTAACCGTATATTCAACTATCTTTCAAATCCTCCTTAAATCCTGTTTCCATAAATATATAATATATCTATGTTTGTTCCAGCTGTTTTTGAACTATCAACATCCAAAGTTTCTAAAACAAGCCACATCAGAAAATTAGATTTGATGCCTTGGCTGGTTTCCTTGTCTCGGCTATGAAACACTAGCTGCGGCATTGAATCTTCTGCTTTTCTACCTAGTGAAACAAAACCATTTAACAAAAATATATCGATGAAAAAAATTACAACAAAGATTGGGTATACTTACTTTTAGAGACTTCAGTATTCCTTAGAAATTCTGAGGAGCTCTTGAAGCTCTTGTCTTTCACGTTATCCCCGGATGACATTAAAATCTGTAGGTCATTTCTTTCGCATTCCCATTTTGAGACTAGACCGTCTCCGTGCAAGGCATCAAAGTCCTACCTACATAATAGGTAAGGTAGTGGAAGGTTATATGCCCATGTTGATAATATGCCCACACAGTGTAATTTAAACGCATTTCAAGTGTACGATCCACAGATGGCGCCAGATGCCCTTTTAGTGAGTATCAACAGGACTCTAGAATAAATCCAGGCCGCTCAGTGCTTTACCGGACATAAGAGAGTACGTACACGATTTTGGACGTCTCTGATCTAAAAAAGTGCAATTTTCAATTACGTGACAAGTGGAAGTGAAACGTTCTTTTGCAATTGTGATCACCTTATTTGAAAACCTACACATTGGCCTTTATTTTCATACATAATTTGTTGCAAAATATTTTGAGGTTAGTACAAAAAATTGAATAAATTTAAAAAGCATACATTGTTGATAATATGCCCAATGGGCAATGTTGATATTATGCCCATTGAGCATATTACCATCACTTGCACAATAATTCACTAATAAGAATTATTTTTTAAAGATGCCAAAGTACAAATCAAAAGGGCTTAGGTCACAGTGGTCTGAAGACAATCTTCAACGGGCCCTTAGTGCAATAGCCAATGGTGAATCAAAGAATGCAGCCTCTAAGAGATTTGAAATATCAAGAAGAACTCTTAATCGTTACCTAAGCAAAGGAACAAACAAAAAACAAAAACTTGGAAGAAGAACTCTTTTAGGAATAGATGAGGAAACTGAACTGGAAGCAAGAATTGAAAGGTTGGCTAACGTAGGTTATCCTCTTACGAAACGAATCGTTCGAAGAAGCGTTTTCAATTACTGTGAGCAGGAAGGTTTGCCCAATGTTTTTTCACAGCAAAGCAAATTAGCTGGTCGCTGCTGGCTTTATTTCTGCTAGGCGAGCGCAGAGTATGAACCCGGCAAGAGCTCAAAAGCTCCACAAATTCATCGTTACCGACTATTTCAATAAGCTCAAAAGTGTACTGTTGGAACTGGATTTAATGGATAAACCAGGAACATGGTCATTTTCAAGTGGCACTTCAGATGATGACGATATGTCTCTCTACAGTGACACGTTGTCAGAAACTTTTACTTCAGAAGAAGAGCGAGACAGAGAAAATTAAAAATCCGAAAATTCTAAAGAGAACAAAGGCAAAGAGGCAAAATTATGTTTAAGAAGAGGTAATGAAGCACAGCAAACGCTAAGTATCACAACTCAACAACGACTGAAACACCTAGAAAAAGAATTAACGAACAACACAGAAGATGAAGAAAATCCCAAAGAAGCGAATGATCAAGAGGTAGACGTAAATAAAGAAAATAGACAAGAACGTGAAACTAAACAAATTCAAGAAGATAAAAACACACCAGTCAATGAAAAGAAGGTAATACACGAACCAAGTTTTCACGAGATGTTGGAAACTCCATATAAAGATGACAATAAGAAAACACAAACATCAAGAAAAGCAATCAAC